CTGGCCGGGGCTGGCCGGGGCCCAGCTCCTGGAGGGCGCGGAGGGCGGGCGGTGGTGGTGGCTGTGGGAGGTCACCCCTCCCCCAGCCGGCCTAGGGCTGGAAGCCGCCCAGCGCAGGCCTGGTACATGGTGGCGTGACCACCGCGGGGCGGGAAGGCGGGGGAGGGGGGTGCTGGGTCAGCGCTAGGTTGCACAGGCGTAGCTCAGGCCTGGGCTCCATGGCCAGCAAGACCTAGGCTCCAACACCACCAAGCCTTTTAACTTTCTGCTGCCTCAGTTTCCCCATCTGTAAAACGGGGTTAAGAATGCTGCCTGACTAACAGTGGTGTGGAGAAGATTCACTAACCATGAGGCAAGGCCCTAATGGAGGTTCCCTCAGGCAGAAAGGCCCAAGAACAGGGGGAGGGGGCAGCGTCTTTCTGGGAGCCAATTATACAGGGCTGGGCACTCAGCAAGCATTCTCTGTGCACACATGTGACATTGTCATTTGTGCGTTGCATTCCCCACTAGACAGGGGATTTGTTCCTGCTGTGTCCCTGGCACCCAATTAGTTCTCAGTGTCTTTGTATCAACAGTCAGGGGGTGCAGGTAGTGAGCACACAGGACCCAGCCCCTAGGGACCACACCACGCAAGCTGTTTATAAAAACCACTTTAAATTAGAAAAGGTGAGAAGCATCAGTGCACACAGACAAGAACAGAGGGACAGAGGGCCCAGCCCCACGTGCAATGTGGTCACCCCACAGTGGGGGAGACTCTCAGGAAGGCAGACAGCTGAGGTCAAGGTGCTGGCTCCTCTGGGTGTGGCTTCAGGCCTTGTGGGCTCAGAGATCAGCCTTCCGGAAACTTGCTCTGTTCAAGGAGTTTCTGGGGAAGGAATAAGGTGCGTCAACATGGCCATAGGGCCCCCAACTTCATAATGCTCCCCAGCTTCTTCCTCCTCCTCCCCCCTCCAAAGATCCTTCTATGGTCTTCCTGGCTCCTTTCATGTTGGTTCTGATCTGGCCGCGGAATTAGAGATTCTCTCATAGAATCCACCCCTGACGATATGAATCATGCCCATTTTACAGATGTGGAAACCGAGGCTCAGAAAATTGAAGTCACATGTCTGGGAACTGACCTAGCCAGGGTCAGAAACGACTGCTCAGAGCTGGCACTTATGCACACGTCTGAGGATTCACATGCTTGTGGGTCACATCCCGAGCCGTGACCACCCATGTTGATGTGCACATGTATGCCAGCCCTCTTGCTGTGCCCAGCTTTGCCTGCCCCCTCTCGCCCTCTCTAGGGTGGGGGGCCCAGGTCAGGCACCTGAGGCTGCTGGTTGTGGTCGGAGCCAGCAGCTGGGGCAGGCGCTGGGTGAGCAGGGGCTGCAGAGCCTCCCGCAGGCGGGAGTAGTTGCGCTCCAGCTCACGGTGGTACTCCTTCTGGTCCGGCCCAATCAGGGCTTTGTTCTTCCGTAGCGCATCCTCACACCTGAGGACCACATGCCAGGAGATGCTCAGGGGCTGATACTCAGGAGAGGAAGCAAGACAGAAAGTGGGGAGTCCATGAGAGGGCATCAGGCATTCAGAGGAACTATAATGGGGGGCCTGACAGGTGGGTATGACTTAATGGAAATCAGAGACTATAATGGCTGTTCAGGCTGATTGACAGGCTGTACTGGGAGTCAAGTAGGCAGAAAGTCATAATGGGGAGTTAGAGGGGCTCTGATGGGGTGGGGGTCAGGCCTACTTCTTGCAGAAGTCCTTGAAACAGAGTCGCAGCTTGTTGTGATGCCTAAAGAGCTTGGGGTCTTCCGGGATCTCGGCCAAAAACACCTGGGCCACCTCCAGTGGACCCTGTGGAGTACGAGGGGCTGGTAAGGATGTCTGCATGGGCCCCGGGGGCCTTGGGCAGCCTGCCCCCCACACCGGCCGTGCCTGGTTGACCGTGGGCCCCACGGAACCCTGCAGCACCATCTGCAGCATCTTGGCATCGGGTGGGTCCTGTTCAGTGGCAAAGGCCAGCTCCCGGGTCTTCTTCTGCATGTCCTCGATGGCCACTTCCACTGGTGTCAGCACTGTCTACAGGGTGGGGATGAGGATGCATGGGCTGGGGCCTGAAGATGTCTTGACCCAAATCAGCCCACGGCAGCCTGGACCCCACCCTGGGGTGGATAGGGGTCCAAGAGACTGTGTAAGGGTCTGGGGGCTCTTGTGTGCCTGGGTCTGGCAGGGTGGAACTCAAGGTTCAGGTGCCTTTGTCTGGTTCTGGGAACTTTGGTTCTAGTCCAGTCGTGGGTCGGCAAGGTCTGGAGGTAGGGTTGAGTCTGCAGATTGGGGTCTGGAGGTTGGAATTTGGGGTCCCTGCACCTCCCTCCCCAGGCCTGCCCCGCCCACCTCCTCCCGGTGGCACACGCGGATGCGCGTCTTGATGTAAGGGAAAGCGTGGTCTGTGCTGAGCAGCGTCTTGCGCTTGTGCTGCTCGGGCAGCTCCCCGTGCGCGCGCCCGTCGGGCGTGAAGGGCGTGCAAAACAGGAAGGTGCGCAGCCCGTAGTTGCGGTCAAAGTAGGTCACCCGGTCCTTGAGCTCATAGGTGTCGAAGTGCGGCTCCACGTACGTGATCTGGATGTAGGCCTGGGGTGCAGGGCTCAGGGGTGAGGCTCTCAGCCCCAGCACACACACCTGGGGCTTGCCGGCCTCCCGCAGGGGACCCTTCCCTGGAGAAAGGGGATTTGGGCCTCCCTGGGTCTGGGAGCTCTGGATCTGGGGTTTCTAGGTCTCCCTATGTTTCGTCTGAATGCTTGGGCATCCCCTGAGGAATAGGATTTTGGGGCTCTCTGAGGGAGATAAGGTTTGGAGTTTCCCAGAGAAATAGGATTTGAGGGGCTACAGGTTTTAGTACTTGAATATAGTACCCCATGGGGATGGCTGGGAGCCCTCACCTTCTGGGCGTCCAGCTTGGTCTTGTCCACAGGGTTAGAATCTTTGATGATCTCGACCACATCCTCCCCGAATCTCTCCGTGTAGAACTCCTGGAGACACGCGGCTGACTTGGGGCCGCACAGCTGCAGCCCCCACTCCACCCCAGGTCAGCCCAGAGCCCTGTCCACCCCACCACCACCAGGACGTGCCTCCAGCCGGTGAGAGATCTCAGCCAGCTTCGTGATGGACGGCTCCTTGTACACAAACTCCTGCTCGTCCAGGTCGCCGAAGCGGGCACCATAGAAGCCCACGCGGAAATACGTCCCGAACACGCGCTGCGGCTGTGGGAAAGCTGTCGTTGCTCACGAGGCCTCACGGGAGGTCCCCCTGCCCCAGAGACACGTGTCCTCCAGCCCGTACCCGAAGACACTGGCATGGGCAGAGGACCCTGAGGACTCCAAGAACGTCACATCCCAGGCACAGGCAGGAGGACCCTGGGAATATCCGAGCATGGACCCAGGCGACAGCCAACTGCCCACACCTCACTCCTTCTCCCCAGCCTGTTTCCTGCCTCCCTCAAACCTTTCTCATTTAACACAAAGCCCTAGTTTCTGATTCTCCCTCTTGCCCCATGCAGTTCTTCAGAGTCTGAATCTCAATATGAAATGAGGATTGGGGCTCTGTTGCTCTCAACTGTGTCCTCAGTGCCTACAAGGCTGGGTATACTGCAGGTGCTCAATAAATGCGTATGGCTGAGGGAAGACATGGCCAACTCTTGGTCTGGGACAGAGGCTTTGGTTCCCTCGTTCCAGAACACCCCCTCCCCTCCCAGACCTAAGTTTGGAAGGAGGGTCTCCCCACCCCCAGGTAGTCTACCCTCCACCAGAAAGAATGGGGGTGGCTCCATGTTCACTCACCAAGGTAGATCCAGGCACAGTGGGGTGGGCACCGGGAGATGGGGGAGCAGGGGGCAGAGAGACAAAATCATGGGAGAGGTCAGAGGTCAGAGTCCCCAACCCCGACGGTCCTGGTTATGCTGCCTCATGAGAACCATTCCATGAGCAGAGACAGGAGATCTGGGGAGCGGAGACCTGCCCGCCCCGCCCGGCCTCCACCCAGGCCTCCCGCCTTGGCTCTGGGTTCCTGCCATCTTTGGCCTGAAAATTCTCCCCAAACTAGGAGATGCCTAAAAATAGACCCAAGTGGAGGAGTGGCGGGAGAGGGGGAACATTAAATGGCAATGAGGAGCAGAGATTCTGGGGCAAGCTGGGAGACAGAGACAGAGACCAAGACAGACACACAGAGAGAGTGATCAAGGAGAAACACAGAGAGACAGGGAGAGATGGAGGGGAAGAGATCAAGAGACACAAAGAGACAGAGACAAAAAGAAACAGAGGGAGGGAGTCAGAGGCCCCCCCTCTTCCAGGCAGTGACCAAGCTGGCCCTGCCCGAGGGAGGGGTGTCTCTGGAGGGCTCCCAGCTGTGTGAGTCACAGGCTGCCCTGGAGATCTGGGGCAGGGAGGGGGGATCTGGGGGGAAGTAGTGGGGGTGCGTCATCATCGCCCACTGAGCCCCCGCGGCCAGGTGGCTGTGCTCCTCCAGCGCCCCCTGGTGGCCCCTGACTGCGGAGACTGGGCGTCATGGGGGCCCCAGGGGCAGGCGGCCACTCACCTCCCAGCCGGAGCTCTGTTGCAAGGAGAAAAGGGTCAAGGTCAGCTGAGCCCCACAGAAGCCAGAGGCTGGGGCTGAGGGCAGGGTCTGGGAGGGCGTCCTGGGCCCACCTGGTGCATGATCTTAGTGAAGGCCTCCTGTAGTTTGCCGTGCACGGCCGCCAACTTCTTGTAGTCACGGTGGGCTTCCAGGATGGGGATGAGGGTCTTGTAGACTTCATTCACTGCCTCGTAGAGCCCACC